TACCATTGGATCCTCAACCCCGCCTGGAACCCAAGATGAAGAGAGGGGGGGAGACAGGCAAAGGACAAAGATCCCACAAGCGAGCACTGGGCCATACTAATAAAACACTGGAGGACCTGCTTCCCGCAAAAAATAAGAACACCAAGAATAAGAGAAGTTACAAGGCAGCCGCTTTTCGGAAACCCCTTGCTAACAGACCAAAATCATAAACCATGGTCCTTAAATACAAAAGGTAAGCATTGGAGGAAGTGGATGAGCAAGGGAGTGTGGAAAATAGAACACATATGGAACTCAGAGCAAAACAGATGGCTGACAGAGCAAGACCTCATAACTAAACTCAAAGGGATTCACAAACTGAAAGAACAGTTAGCAAGCCTACTAGACAGCGTCCCATTGAAATGGATTCTCCTCCTGAAAAGCAAAAAAAAGTGGGCAGTGGGGGACTGGGCCACAAAAACTGAATCTGAAACAGACCCCCCAACCATTGCTTATAAACTGCTCAAATTAGCTGATGTAGAGGACGGAAAAGCAGATTTCGCTGCTTACGAACTAGCGGGAGAACACAAATCCTGGGTATCACCAGTCAGGGTAATAGAACCAAGGACAACGGAAAAGCTCAATACTTAAAAGGGTACGTTCATGTACACTAAAAAAACACAAAAATCAAAACCCTACAAACCAACTAGATCTAAATGGAACCCGGCTATACAGACCAGACCTGGACATCAAAGATCTAGAAGTGGACCCAGCGGAATGGGGGTGGATGGTACCTAGCACTTCAGGGAGAGCCAAAAAGCTTACCCCTATTTATGATTATGAAGTTAAAACAGGCTACAAACTGGGCAATCTCACAAAGGATCCGCTCCCAGTAATCTCAGAATGGTGGAAAAGAAACTTGGGCGAAAACGCAGGTTGGACGAATAAAATCCCATGGAACCAGTACACAAACATAAGACCGGTAAGGATCAGAAGTCTACAGTGGCTCATACTTTATTGGGCAGTGCCAGTCAACCAATGGTTGGCTAAAAGGAGAAAACAGGAAGATCCGTAATAACAAATGTCCCTGTGCGAAGTGTGTAACGACCATGCTGAAGAATCACTGGTCCACTGCCTAATATCCTGCCAACAAGCACAGAAGTGTGGAGTAAAACAAAAAACCTCTGGCCAAAGCTAACGAAACATAATCTCCCCAGCAATCCACTGTACCTGCTAACGGGAAGACTGGAAAGTGAAGAACTAGAAGAAGGTGCAGTGTTAATGGCAGACTTATGGAGGAGAGCAACGCTCTGGGCAATCTGGAAAGCAAGGTGCAAAGGCGCTCTTGAAGGACAATCGTCATCCTTAGAGGAGAAATGGGTGGAAATAAAAAGCATAATACAAACGGAAGTAAGAGCACCCTGGATCAAAGAGCAAAAGGAACAACAGAAGATAATAATACCAGACCAAAAAGAATTGAGTCTGATAAAATTTAAAAGAACATGGCTTTTGGAGAACAGAATCACAAAAATACATGGAGGTACTCTACTCTTCACAAACTGGGACTAACAACAAGAAAGGCTTTACGTAACTCTCACCCACCCACGACTTTTTCACATCTTCGGACTCGACTAAACCACAACACGCCCCAGCACGCTCTAACCATCGCCCAAATGTAGTTGGCTCCTACTTTTACCAGCACGATCTAACACACATCCCCCATTAAAAAGAATCAGAAGGATGCAGTGACTGATTGCACACAAACCTCTTCTGGCGAACCAATGACTGCACACTAGATGGAAAGTTGCAGACCTGAATAGCCTAAAGCTATGAACACCCTACACCAAACAAGTGACAGAAGAAGTGGATCACTGTTTACTGGCGGGTAAAGAGATGACAGAATAACGGGACGAGAGCCACATCACCCCGGGTCTCCCTCCTCACGTCTCCCTTCCCTGATCAACCCACTCAGTTGTTTCCCCTTGACTAACATCCCGGATCAGACACAGAAGACAGAAGGGACCAGTGTCCTATTCATCAGGAAGTGTCCCTGTGGGGCAGATGGAAGGAGAAATGCAGGAGAACAACTGAAGGACGGTCCAACCCAAGGGAGAAAGCGCAGACAGAAACCAGAACAACGATTCAAGCTGAGACTCTGTGCAGACGGTGGATGATCAAACAAATCGGGACAGAGGGGGAAGAACAACACTAAAAGGAGAGGCAGACCTTTTATAAGAATTGGCTGGAATAAGGCAAGGATGTTTATTTGCGTCAGGACCAGGTCAGGCTGGAGAGTTTGGCACAGTACTCCAGGAAGAGGCTTTCAACAGCAGACAACGTTGGAAGGCATATTCACATCTTTGGTCGCAAATGAAGGAATACAACCCTCAAGAGACCCAGAGGGTACAGACAAAGAGGTAATGTGGGGAAAGCAGGACAAATTGGGGAGTACGACTACATCAGAGCTGAGGGCTGCAAAGAAGGATTTCATCACAGAAGTCCGGAAGCAAATGAACCCCTGTCGGGTCCAAAGGTGGGAGGATCGGAAGATAAGACCGCAGGCGAAAGTGTTAAGGTTTAAGGACAGATCGTTGATCATCCAAAGGGGCAGGGAGATGAGTGGGGAGAGAACAGGTTGACAAGGACAACGGATGAGCTCTTTCTAGGGTCAAGGGCCTTATCTGGCAGATCGGGTACCCAGGTCTGAGAGGAAAGAGAAGGGATAGGGCAAGCTGACAGTCAATCCTCCACTGCAGTGGAGTAATCAATGCTGTTCAGGGGTCCTCCGGCCTGACGGAAGGAAGCGTGAGTGAGTGTTTTTTGATGTAATGTACTTTTGACTTGCCGGTGGAATAGGAACCGGACTGACGTTCCCCAGAATAGAAGGAGCCAGGCCCATAAGGCCTTATTTGAAAAAAAATAAAAATAAATAAAAATAAAATCCAGATAGCACAATCACATTGAAAGCAAGAAAGTCCCACCGTGTCCAGATAAGCAGCATTGCACCAATATTACACCAATGGAGAATTGAAACACTGAAACCGAATGTCAATGAGAGCTTTACTCTCGTCCCCACCAACATATGTATCCAGGACCTCTCTCCCTACTTGGCGCTCGACGCCCAGGCTACTCCCTACACAGCTACTTCCTGCCTACGAATTGACAACGCAACTGTTGACGTCAGCAGCCACTGAAGTACTTGAAGATGTCGACCAATGCAGACCATCGCCAATACCAGGTATGCGCCCTCACATCATCAATCTCTTTCACTCTCTCCCTGTCCTTGTCTTCCTCCTACGTCTTCTCCCTTATGCACGAAAGACCATCACCACCTCCACTGGCTGTCCAAGCCAAGCCCTGGCTATGTAGGGCTGGCTATGGCGCTGCCCTCGGCAGCGCCCGCGCGCACTGCCTGGCAACTAGCGCTAGTGCCCAGCGCACAGCCGGCAAGCACACGCTCAAGCAGCGCTGCTGCATGCACTGCCTAGTGCCCGAATGCCTCCACCAGTGGCGAGCTCTTTCCTTAAGTTTATGGAAAGTGCCGGCCCAGTCTGCTCCCTGGCTGGGCCTCGTGTATTTCCAGTAGCTTCCAATCGGGCTAAAGTGTCTGCGCCCAGGCCCATTAAGACAGTGGCCTGGGACCGAAGTGGTTGAGCCTGCCCAACCACCCAGTAGTAAACGTGAGGTTCTCCCTGCTTCGCTTGTGCTCCTGGAAGAGCCTAGAAGGCTCAGGAATTATTTCTGATTCTCACGAGTATGGAGGATGTAACCAACTGGCGCATGGCAACTGTCTGGCGCCCACCAACCTTTGCCAACTTCGACGAACTCAGGCCATATTGAAATTCAGGGGGCCCGCCTTCACTTAGGGCGGGATCATGCTTGCTGATAGGGCCCTACAGGGCATGCCAAGGAGCCAACTCGTAACAAGGCCTCGTCGAAGATCCATGCCCAGATGGGGTTTACAACAGGCTCTGCTTGGGCCCCTCAGCCTGGTCTCATAGCCCTATAAACAGGCATTGGCACATATTTGCAGGCCCGCCTTCACTTAGGGCGGGATCATGCTTGCTGATAGGGCCCTACAGGGCATGCCAAGGAGCCAACTCGTAACAAGGCCTCGTCGAAGATCCATGCCCAGATGGGGTTTACAACAGGCTCTGCTTGGGCCCCTCAGCCTGGTCTCATAGCCCTATAAACAGGCATTGGCACATATTTGCAGGCCCGCCTTCACTTAGGGCGGGCACGGCACTTTCAGACACTGCTGAGGAACTAAATCCTCGCAGTAGGGATGAGATGGGGATGGGTAATGAGATGGAAGACCTAGGTGAGCATTCTCAGCAGAACAGCTGCTGCCACAGTGGCCGGCATTAACCATCCACACCCAGAAACACAGTCTCGACAACTGGTGGAGTGTCAGTTGCAGGCCACGGCGAAAGAGCAACAGGTATTGCAGGGGAGCATACATTTTCCCCATGATGTTCACGGCTGGAAATGGACAAAATGATTCAAGGTGCGGACGGCGAGCACAGTCAGAAAAGGAGGAGCTGCCCTCTGCACACCCGGCTGCAGAACCCCCCTGGCATTCTAGTAATTTCGGCAGAAATAATGATGCCTGCAGGTGAGGGAGACAAAAATGTTGCAGTGAGGCTGGACCTAGGCTACCAGAGTGGCCCGAGATCACTTGCCCGGCCAGGCCAAAAAAGAAGTAATTTTTTTTTTTTAAATATATATATATCGTCACAAATAAGAAATGTGTTTTTAATTATTATTTTTTTTTAATTCGGTAAAGGATTTAGAGGTGACCCTGAGGCAAATGCAAGGAAGATGAGCAATAGTGAACTTTAGAAATCAAACAGCATCATACACATGAGACCAGATAGTCGTGACCTCGAACCAATAGCAGAATTGCATCACGAGTTTCACCAAATAAGAGCACAGCAAAAGCTCATAATTGACAATGCTGGAATAGTCTCATCATCATCAACGAAGAACCAATGTTGATATCCTATCTGGCGCTCGGCGCCCAGACTATGAATGGCAGATCCTATCTAGCCTAGACTACAATGCCGCTGATGACGTCAACAGCTCCCCGAAGTACGAGCAGATCTCGGACAATGCCGTACGCTTCAAGCACCAGGTATGCCTCTCGTATCACTCACAATCTCGTTCCCCAACTCACAGATGCCACATGCACCCAAGGACCACCATGCGCCCCATCCAGCATACAGCAGCGCAGCTCGGCTATGGCTGCCTGCTCCTTCCAGCTCGCCCGTGAGCACGTGAGCCTCGCCAGCGTTAGGGCAGCAGCACTTGCGCAGCATGCAGCCAGTGCCCGAATGTCGAATGTGGGGGCTGGCCCTTTCCTAAATGGAAGTGGCCAGCCTGCTTGCGTGCAGCCTAGCTGCACTGGGCCCCTGCCCAGAAGCTTCCGGTAGGCGCAGGGAGGTTGAGCCTCAGACCAAACGAATCAGGCCCGCTGTCTGAGTTGGGTCTATGCTGCGTATCTCGCCCAGGGCCTGACTTAGATATAGGCGAAGTAACATAAAGGTAATGTATTGGACTGCAAATCCACGAATGATGGTTCGAATCCGTCCTTAGCCTACTTACTCGGCAAGTTGACCAAGTTGAGTTTCTTAAGAGATTGATGTTGCCTGTTTAGAAGTGGATTGAAAAGTCAACAGTGTTTTGAACTTTTGTTCCATTTGTTGACATAAGACTGCTTGCACGGTTTGTTTGCAATTTGGTGCGCAGCGTGTAATCATATCATTTATACATGATTCTCCAATCATTTGCGTANGCAATTTGGTGCGCAGCGTGTAATCATATCATTTATACATGATTCTCCAATCATTTGCGTACTTGAACGCAAACTAATACTACGTAATTCATGTTTTCTTTCGACTGGCCAGAGAGAGTCGTGACCAACGCCCAGAGAATATGTCGACGGGGGCGCAGCACTTCGTGTGTCCTCTTACGCACGGTGCACCATAACCAAATAGTTGCTTCGCCAATGAAGGATTTCGTGCAACAGAATGAATCAAAGAACTAAACACGTCAGAATGAATCAAAGAACTAAACACGTTTCCAATACCTACAGCGGCTCCAGCTAATGCGATTGTTGCACAGCCCGCTCCAATTAATTTTGCACCTTCTAACATAGCCATCTTCTTTTTGTTTGTATCAAAACAAAGACCATTTATCGTTGATTACCCAAATCGCCGATTTTGTCAAAATCAATGCGGCAGAGGCTCGCCAGCACTTCCTTCGTTCGTGCCTTTGCCAATCCTCAGAAGCGGTGATATGATATTATACGCGGCGTTTCTTAGGAGGACGACATCCGTTATGTGGCGTTGGAGTTACATCGCTAATCTTGGTTATAATAAGACCTCCTAATTGTAAACCACGTAAGGCCGAAGGCTTTCCATAACCTAAACCTTTGATTCTCACTTCAACTGAGAAGGCCAGGGCCTGGGCACCTTCAACCAACTGGCGCTGCGCAACTGCCTGAATTCCCCAGTTGCGTGGTGACCCCAAAATGGCCTGAAGGCCTCGGTCGTGCCTGCCTTCACTTAGGGCGGACGACTGTGTGGAAAATAGGGCCTGTAGGGCATATCGAGGCCCTGTGCCTCGCATTCCCTCCTCCATACTTCGATAGTCCTCAAACAAGTTCAATCTTCGATAATTTGGCGTTTTCCCTTTTGCAGAGTTTTCTCGTAGTCAGCGACGACCTGTGTAGCGGTCTGCATCAGTTCCTCCCATGTGAACCATCTATCCTCCTTTGGATCAGTGTGATGTCTGAACCAAACCCTGTACTGCAGCTTCGGTTTCGAAGGACGTCCCCTGCCTGTCGGTCTTGGAACATGCATTTCCCTGTGGTCAACAATATCGTCGATGTCGAACTCTCCATCCATGGTTGGGGGCAGCATTGAGCCATGAGAGGGAAACTGATCTCTCTTTAAATGGTGCGAGCTTGGAGGCGTGGAAAACAGCGTAAGTGCGTAAGTAGCCAGGAATGCGAATAATATAAGAAGGGCCATCTGGATTGTCCCCAATGACATCCCATGGTCCAAAGTACTGCGGCATGAGCTTGCGGGAGATCCCATGCTCCTGTCCCAGTTTTGAGGACTTAACCCAGACTCCTTCTCCTACCTGGAATGTAGATCGGCGACGGTGTTTGTTCTCTGACTCTATCATCATCGCCTGTGCTTTATGCATTTGCTCAACAGCCTGCTGCATCAGGCACTCGTACCGATAAGCAAACTCTAAGGTCCCTGGTGCAGCAGATGGCTGATTCTCAAGTAGTAGAAAGTCCAAAGGTAGTCTAGGCTTGAAAGTCAGTAGTAGGCTGTTCGGGCTCACTCCCGTAGCGCTGTGCACAGCGTTGTTGTACAGACTGGCGATGAGAGCAGGTTTCTCATCCCAGTCGACCTGATTTGGCTTGATGTAATGCCTCAGCACATTACAGGTTTTGTACAACGCGGTTCAACTGCTCTGCCTGCCTAGCTTCTGGGTGACCGCCTGATGTCATTTGCAACTGCGTGCCCTATTCTTCAGCTGCAGCTTTCCACAGTTCACTGGTAAAACGCACATCCCGGTCACTAACTATAGACTTAGGCAGTCTGAAATCTCTGACCCAGTTCTCCTTGAACAACTTGATCACATGCTCACTTTTAGTTGTTGCAGGCATTGCAACTAACCTAGTGTACTTACTAAACCTATCCACAATGACATAGACGTAGCGCATTCCACTCTTGCTGGTGACCAGCGTATCCTTGAAATCCATGGACAAAGTCTCACCAGGCCTTGCCAGAATCGGAAGGGGCTTCAGCAGCCCAGGAGGAGCCTGTGTTCGTGGCTTGTCCCTTTGACAGACCTGACAAGTCTCCACGTACAGCTTAGTGTCTTTCATCATCGTGGGCCACCAAAACCTCTGCAACAAATTTGCTGCAGTCTTCTTGAAACCAAAATGGCCGGTGGCGTCATGACACTCTCCGAAAAATAAACTGCGCAAAGACTCCCTATCAGGCACACACAAACGTTTATTCCCATCCTTCTCAAGGAACAGCAAGCCGTTGACCAACTCAAACTCGGCAGAAGTCATTTTGTCCTTCGCCTCGAGTCTGCGAATGATCTCAGACATAAACGGATCCTCGCGATAGGCTTCCACCATAGAACGAGTGACATCGTCTGCAAGCCTGAACTCAATGATCAGCGCACCAGAGAAGTCAGGCCTACGTGATAAGGCATCAACAACTTTGTTGTACTCCCCCTTCAGATACTGGGGTTCCAAGTCATATTGTTCAATGACTTCGATCCAGCGCTTCAACGCATAAGAGAGCAGAGGCTGAGTTCTCATCCACTTCAAGGTCTGATGATCAGTCCTGATGATGAATAACCTTCCAAGGAGATAATGTCTCCAATGGGTCAGTGCCTTGTAAATTGCGTAGAGCTCCTTCTCATAGGTGGACTTAGCCAACTTTTGAGAGGGCATTTTTTGGACATGTACTCGACTGGCCTCGACTTTGGCCCCTCCTGCTGCGCTAGCACGACACCAATGCCATATTGGCTGGCATCCATGGTTACTATGAACGGCTTGTCAGGATCAGGAAGTTTCAAGACCTCATGATGCGTCAACGCACCTGTCTATCTACTCCCATGGGGTGTCAAGGCGGGTCAGGTCAGTCAAAGGGGCGGCCACCATCCTATAGTTCTTAACAAAATTACGATAGTAGATGGTCATCCCTACGAAAGACCTCATCTTAGTCACAGACTGAGGACGCGGCCAGTCACGAATGCTGGCCGCCTGCGCGTCATCGGGCTTCAATCCCGCCGTGGATATCTCATGACCCAAGTACAAGATACGGGTACGGCCAAACTCGCACTTCTCATCGTTGATCTTGAACTTGTGTTGTCAAAGGAGACTAAGGACTTTGTCCAAATGAGCTACGTGCTCTTCGACAGTCCTACTAAAGATAAGTATGTTATCGTGGTACACGATGACAAACTTGTCCAAGTAGTCATGAAAGATCCGATTCATCGCGTGCTGAAAGGTGCTAGGAGCATTAAAAAGGCCGAAAGGCATCACCACAAACTCGTACAGACCGTACCTGGTCTGGAATGCGGTTTTGTGTTGATCCTCGAGCCATATAGCAATCTGATGGTATCTGGACTTCAGATTTATCTTACTGAAGTACCGACACCCTTGCACTCGATCTAACAAGTCGTCGATGCGCGGTAGGGGCTCTCGGTTCTTGACAGTGATGGCATTGAGGCGCCTATAGTCAATGCACATGTTCAGAGTGCCCCCTTCTTTGGTACGAATAGAACTGGAGAACCATAAGGAGAGATACTCGGCCAGATCCAACCCTGCTCTACGAGTTCCTTGAGTTGTCGACGAAGCTCGTCTAGCTCGCCTGGAGACATTCGATAGATCCTACCCTTCGGGATGCTAGATCGTGGGATAATCTCTATCGCGTGCACGACGTCCCTCTCAACAACCCCCGTAGGCTCTTCAAATAGATCAGGGTACTTGGCAACTACTCCCTCTATCTCCGGCGGCATTTTCACCAGCTCGTCTGCTGCAGAGAAATATACTAGATACATACCCTTCTCCAGATTTTCCTTTTTATCGTTATAGAACGCGGCCGCACACATGCATCTGTAGGACTCAATCAAACTACTAGCTTTGAACTTACGTAATCCGGAGGTCCCCCAACCAGGCAAAGTGTGTTTGACCACTTTTCGGTCCGAGTCAAACTGGGGGTGTACAACGGAGAGGTAGTACATACCTAACAAGATATCCATAGGGAGATCATCGCTCGCTGGGAACGAGACGCGATGTCTCAGTTCCCTCCCGCGTACGGGAAACAACACTCAACATCCTGGAGGTAGTCATTAACTACCATGCACTGTTTGTTGGCACAGGTCGACTCCACAGGTCCACTCCGGCGCTGCACTCGCCCCTGTAAGCGCAGTCTCTCAACGCACGCGCAACTAATGAAGTTCCTTGTTGAGCAGGTGTCATAATAGGCCCCGACCTTATGGCCGCCCATGACTACCTCGCCGACGAACATCTCTCCGTTAAGGGCTTTAACCAATGTCGTCCAAGAAGCTAGTGGGTCAGATCTAGACCACTCCTCCTCTAGCTCCGCTAAGGACTCAAACACATTCATCGAACAGAGGCTTAATGGGTTTGAATGTGTTTGCGGGACGACGATGGAGTCAGTAGCTCGTGCCATCTCTCGGGATGGTGAGGGTGTGTCCACCACCTCGACCCTAGGAGGAACAACTACTATTCTTACTGGCCCGACGCGTTTCCCAGAGCAGTGCCAGAACTGCTGGCCACATTGTTGCCAACGGGAGTGGAGGATCCCAACGCCTTCCCCATCGTAGGTGGGGTCTTTTCGGTCACCTTCTTCTTTCGGCACTTGAACTGGTTATGGCCATATTGGCCGCAACGGATACAAGCCTGCCGCGTGTACCGATCTCTCCACACGTCCTCACTAAGACCCACTTTCTCCCATGGAGGAACATTGGGGTCAACTTGACTCCTAGACCGGGAACCTCCACGGCGTCTACCGGTCGCCTTACCTTTTTGAGCTACGACAACGACTACTCCACCCCCTGAAGCTTCTACGCTGCCAGCCTCTGAACCATCGTTGTCAACGAAGATGATGCGTCCCTTCGTTCCAGTTGAGAGGCAATGATTTTTTCCTACCATCCGTCGTGGGGGTCTGACCATGCCCTATCTTTACTTCAAGGTCTAGGGCCTTCTTGCTAAACGAGGGAAAGTTGTGCATGTTGATGTTGGCCTCACCTGCCAACTGATTCCTGAGAGGCATGGGAAAGCATCTCAGGTAGGAGATGAGTAAGACCTGGGGGTCATAGCGCACCCCCGGGACACAGATCAGACGCTCTACTGCGTCAGTGGCCTCTCTTACTGACTTAAACTGCCTAGTATGCAGTGTCCGGATCGCGGCAGTAGCCTTTTGGGCCTCCTAAGGATCATGCCACCTGTCTTCCACCAACTTGAGGAAGTCATCCAGCTCCTGGGTGACTGCCCAAGCACGAAAGCCATGACCGTACCCCTGTAGCTGCACTAAACCACTCAACCATCTTGTTGCACTCCTCTCTAGATAGGAGGCAGCCACAAGCACTTCCTCGTGCGGCAAGGTAAGTTTGCACTTGACATAGACAGGCACTGCCCTCAACCATGTGTCGAGGTCTTCGCCCCTCTTATCCCCTGTAAAGGGTTTAGGAGCGGCGATGGCCGTCTTTGGAACCCACTAACTTTGTCCCGTTACCTGCACCATTCCGAGTTGTGGACCCTGTGGTGCAGGCTGCTGCACTAGCTGCTGTTGGGGTTGTGTACCCTGCGGCTGTGCAGGCTGCGAGACAGAAGGTTGCCCACTTATGGCAACCTGCGACGGAGGTTGGGAAAACATTGTCTGTACAAGAACCTGTACACTAGGACCTGCCGAGAACCCTCCTGCTAACGGCATACCCAGGGAAACGGTTTGGACCGATGTTGGGGAGACAAATGGGGATACCCCAGTCACCGGTGGGACAAAAGGAGGAGGATGTACAATGGGCCAGGCACCGGGCCCGGACGACAATGGACCTGCCTGCGCTCGCCCGACCAGCAAGGCCAGACTCTGCTGAATGTTTTGAAGGAGAGCCGTGTGGTGGTCCTGCATCTCTACAACACCTAGCAGGGTTGTCGCAACGTCCTCACATCGTCATCCATGTGCGTCAAGTCCATCTCCTCTAACGCGCTAATGTCCGCTTGTCTCTGCTGCATCCTGACTCTTCTTCTAATCATATTTTCTTTCTCCGCTTTTATCTCTCCTAAGGCCTTATGTAGCTGTGCCTCCTGCAGTGCTGCCTGCTGTATGGCGATCTAGTCAACACTAATGGCTGGCTTGCCATGACGCCAGTGGACTGACTCAGGGTCTGCTCGACCGTTGACCCTACGGCCCCTGAACTGCTAGCCTGGGAACTCTGCTGCACAGCAGTTGCCATGGCTGTTGAAGTTGCGGCTTCGCTTGCGAATGCCCTGATGGCCTCTGCTGCCCTAGCTCTCCGCTGCTGCTGCTGCCTCTCCCTTTGCTGGCGGAACAACAACCTATCACCCTCGGGTCCTAATGGCACGTGGGCAATTGGGCGTCTAGCCGATTGCAAGATCCGGTCGTCCTCAGTAGTGGTATTCCTATCGCTCATAAGTTACAGAACTGTACACAATCTGCACTAAGACACTCTTTGATGCTTACCGCAGCGTAGTACACAGACCGACTTATAATTGAACTAGTTAATTGGTGGCTGCGTCAAAGAGTATGTACATTTGGGTCCAACAGGTAAGTTCGGGTTCCTACAAACGAAACTACTTCGACTAGTTCGCAAGAGAAGCACAATGAACAAAAAACAGTTCTAAACTATGCTGTCTATTGGATGTTAATGGCTGTACATCTAACTAATCAAAATAAAAATAGAATCATTTGTTGGGTCTGTTTGCAGAGTGGAATCTTGCCCAAACTTATCACCTGGAATCTACCCCTCCCTCAATTCTTCCTAAATGTCTCTTGTCGTCAAGGTCCCTGAGCAATCCGGACAGCGTGCGTGTCTAACGGTGTGCACACGGCCCACCCATGTGCCCCGAGTCCTGCTGAGCTGGCCAGTCCTGCACAGTCTTTATCCTCGCGTGCAGCGAGCCTTACACCGACCGATTGGCTGATCAGGAGGCGTTTTTATGGACGGCCCCCGAAGTCAGGAATTATTTAACGTATAGACACCCGGTCTCGTCTGTCCCATAGGGCTGGCCTGCCCTTCAGAACCCCTCTATAGCGCAGCGAGCAGACAAAGGACAAAGCAGCAAAGCATGCATGCTCTACTCCCGGTGGGTTGGCATGGTGACCGGGACCCAGTGTTTCGTCCAGGGCCCTTCAGATAGCACCGCCCTCTCCTTCCAAATGCTCCATGTGAAGATTGACGACTCTCAAGGTTGAGTGCACACAACTCCTCACATGAGAGGACTCTCAAGACAGAACACACATCCTCACGGTAAGAAGTGTCGAAGAGGGTAGATAAGGTCAACCACAGAAATTCTCACCAGATGACCCAATGTTGATTGTAAGACCAATCGCTGCTTCGGCACAACCAGCATTGCACAACCGTTCCACCTCAGCATCAATCACACACCGGATAGTTATCATCACACTGCGAACACCCAATAATCACCGCTTAGCCTTCCTGGTGAACCCCTCTCCACCTGGGTCGCCTACTTATCTTCGCCGTCCTCACTACACACATCCCACGGCACGGTCGCTCACCACACACACCATGTGTATGTACCGCATTAGGCAGAAGATAAGCGCCAGATTAGCGCACTGAACCACAACTTCGATACCAAATTGCAAGGAAGATGAGCAATAGCGAACTTCAGAAATCAAACAGCATCATACACATGAGACCAGATAGTCGTGACCTCGAACCAATAGCAGAATTGCATCACGAGTTTCACCAAATAAGAGCACACCAAAAGCTCATAATTGACAATGCTGGAATAGTCTCATCATCATCAACGAAGAACCAATGTTGATATCCTATCTGGCGCTCGGCGCCCAGACTACGAATGGCAGATACAATCTAGCCTAGACTACAATGCCGCTGATGACGTCAACAACTCCCCGAAGTACGAGCAGATCTCGGACAATGCCGTACGCTTCAAGCACCAGGTATGTCTCTCGTATCACTCACAACCCCGTTCCCCAACTCACAGATGCCACATGCACCCAAGGACCACCATGCGCCCCATCCAGCATACAGCAGCGCAGCTCGGCTACGGCTGCCTGCCCCTTCCAGCTCGCCCGTGAGCGCGTGAGCCTGGCCAGCACTAGCGCAGCAGCGCTTGCGCAGCATGCAGCCAGTGCCCGAATGTCGAATGCGTGGGCTGGCCCTTTCCTAAATGGAAGTGGCCAGCCTGCTTGCGTGGAGCCTGGCTGCGCTGGGCCCCTGCCCAGAAGCTTCCGGTAGGCCGAGGGAGGCTGGTCCTCAGACCAAACGAATCAGGCCCAGGGCCACTGACAGTTACCCGTGCCCAATTGCCCGCTGTCTGAGTTGGGTCTATGCTGCGTATCTTGCCCGGGGCCTGACTTAGATACATTCGGTAAAGGAGGCCAGGGCCTGGGCGCCTGCAACCAACTGGCGCTGCACAACTGCCTGAATTCCCCAGTTGCGTGGTGACCCCAAAATGGCCTGTAGGCCTCGGTCGTGCCTGCCTTCACTTAGGGCGGCCGACTGTGAGGAAAATAGGGCCTGTAGGGCATATCGAGGCCCTGTGCCTCACACAAAAGTTATTCAGTTGTTTTTTCTGCATAACATTGTTTTTTTTCAAAATTTTTTTTTATTATTATTATTATTTTTTTTTTTTTTTTTTTAGCTGGGACCTCCTTTGGTCCTTGCACGGCCGAGCCGCAAGGTGACCCGATCCGCCCGGCTGGTAGCCCAGGCCTGAACCAAAGAAAAAACAAAACAAAACAAAATCGCAGTAGGCATATTACATGTGCTTCTCCAGTCTCTGTCATGTTTCCTGAATGCCTGTGCCTTCTGTAGCTCTGGTGCTGATACCTGGTATCTGGTCCATTCCACTTGCAGGGCCCGTACGGTTTCGAAGACACGATCGGTGCAGGAGGCGCACCTCTGACATTTATAGCACTGGTTTTGATACCTTGTATCTGGTCCATTCCACTCGCTCTTCTAACTGCAGAGCTGTCGTGCATGATTCCAGAGAGTGGAGGCAACGTGGTATGGGTCCACAGGGCGTTTGGTCCTTTCTGGGCCTTCTTCAACGGCTGCATTGCAAGCGCATGCAGCATCTTGGACAACGCACTTTATCCCGTCCTTTTCATCGACTACGTCAATGCCATCACCTTCAACTTTGAGGAAGGGAATGGGATGTCGTCGTCATTGTGCATGCTGATCAAGGTTGCTCTTGCTGTGTCCGTAGCGGTTGTCAACATATGTGGAATCGACCTCATCGGTGAGCAGTAACCAAACCCACCATCCCATGTGGCTGAATGCTATATGCACGTACTGACTGTCGCAGTCACGAGTTTGACTCCTGGTGCATTTGTAGCAGTGCTAAAGATATGTGGAATCGACCTTAGTGGTGACTAACGAAACTCTCATCCCATGTGTCACACACAGCGAAAAAGGTCAAAAAGGTCATGAGTTCAAATCCTCAAGCGTTGTAGCGGTGTTCAACATATGTGGAATTGACCTCCTTGGTGAGTAACGAAACTCATCCCACGTGGGTGAACCCTACACACATGGATTAACTATCACAGATAGCTAACCAGGTCATGAGTTCGAATCCTGGTGGAATCAGATGGGTACAATAAGATTAGGAGTTATGGGCCTGGGCTACGCTGCTCTTGAAAACCAGCATCCCAGCATTGGTCAGTGACCAAACCCATCAACGTCCGAGGTGGCGTGGAGTCATAAACAAACCCTGATTTAAACCCCACTCTGGTGCTGCAGACTGAATAACCAAACCCAGCACTGGTGAGTGATGAAGTGATCAAAGCCAACGACAACACTGAAGGGGGATAAAAAGGAAAACAAACAAAAAGCACCGGCGACTGGGCATGTGATCAAACCAAGCAGCATTATACAAAGCAGCACTGGGCAGTGACCAAGTGACATAGACAAACCCTGAGTGAGTCCCACAAGCAAACCCTGAGTTAGTCCCACTCTTCTGTTGGCAATGCTGAGAACACCTGATATAAGGGACGCTGGGCCCGGATGCTGGTCCTGGTGTCCAGTATTTGTATTATCTCTTCTCTTCTCTTATCTACCTTAAAGCAAAAAGCGGTCCTCGTGTGACGCTCCCACTGGGCCCAACAAAAATCGGGCAGGGAGTCCGCGCGGGGTGCCGCAGGGGACCGAGGAGGGCACGTCGGTTGGGGGGGGCGTATTTGCGATAGGGTCGTGTTGGCGCATGGGGGTCGCGTCGGTTCGAGGGGCGGGGCCAGCAGGACACTTGCGGGCCGAGGGAAGGCACTGAGAATCGAACTGCGCAGACTGCCCCGCCCAGACTGCCGGGTGGCGGGGCCGGAGTGTGCCGGAGACACACACACACACACACACACACACACACACACACACACACACACACACACACACACACAGAGAGAGAGAGAGAGAGAGAGAGAGAGAGAGAGAGAGAGACATGGTGACGGGCGGGCTGCTCGTGTGAGCATCAGGGACTTGCAGGCGAGGGGGCGAAGTGACAGTGTGAAAGGGAGGATGAGAGAGAGAGAGAGAGAGAGAGAGAGAGAGAGAGAGAGAGAGAGAGAGAGAGTGTTTTCCATCGATAGGATGAGCAACGCACCGGCCAACAGGTAAGTCTCTAGCCCCGCGACTGGCCTTATGCTACTTTCATCGATAGGATGAGCAAAATCGAATGAATCTTTCATTGGAACATCGAAATATACGCTACTACGCGTGCGTGTGTGTGTGTGTGTGTGTGTGTGTGTGTGTGTGTGTGTGTGTG